TCCGGAGCGTTCTCCGGAGAATCTGGAAATTCGTACCTTCTCGCGAATCGCGAAGTCAAGTTTCCACCGCATTTTGTGTGCCGCACGAAAAAAAATTAGCTATCATACACTGTAAAAAAATATGTAATATATTATATAAAAATATGTAAAATTACATAAATAATAACTGTAATTTTACATATTTTTATGTAACATGTTACATATTTTTTTTACAATGTAGCTAAATTTTAGCTGTCCATATATTACACATGAAATTTAGTTATCATGCCTAAGTTTTAGCTATGAGAGCTAATATTTTTTAGCTATAACATTCTCCGTTAAATTATATAGCTAAAAATATTAGTTAAATATATAGTTAAAATAGTTAAAATTTAGGCATGATAACTAAATTTCATGTGTAATATATGGACAGCTAAAATTTAGCTACGGTAGCTTTTTCTTTTTTTTTTTGTTTAAAAAGATGAAACGAGAGTGGTGAGTAACTCGAAGCTTTAATTGGAATTTCCATTATCGGGAAAATCGAATATAAATTTTATTGGATCGCGAAAGATTCTTCGAGGATTCTGAATTTTTTTAAATGATCCCCATCGAATGGTTTCGAGAGAAGGAACGTAAAGTAGAAATTCTTCCATGAGAAAAGAAGAATTCGCACGAGGGAAGAAATGGCGAGATCGATACGCTTATGGGGAGAGAGAATCGAATCGTCGGGACCGAGAACATAATTATCCGATGAGTCGAGAGAAATCCAAAGGCCGCGAAAGAGGGAGATAAAGGGAAAAGATCGCGGGAGTGAAAGAAGTGGGAGAATGAAGGGGGTTTATTCTTCGGTGCTGTGGAATCCGAAATGTTCGGAGGGTGCGTTATCTTCTTGCGTCGTCCCTCGACACTCGCGAATTCCACGATAAGCGGTATGGATATGTATGAGTCTGTATGGGTGTGTGTTTACTGTACAAGTTAAATAAAGTTAACGCACGTGCGCGAGATGATGCACCTTCGTATCTTCCACGAGCGCGATGTGAAAAAGTACTTGTAAGGAAGCGTGAAGAAGAAATTCGCGTTCGTTTTCGCACGCGCAATGTAATATTTTTGGAATCTTGTAAAATATTATAATTGATATAAAATATTATAATTGATAATATTTTCCTCACGTATAATTTATGCAACATATTTGATTTTATACAAATCGAAATTACGTTTATGTTAGTTTATCGTTCATAATAAGTTAGTTAAATTCATCTATCTGTTATTAAATTTTATTTTGTTTCTTCAAAAATATTACTATACATTTATTTAATATATTTTTGTTTCGTCAAATGAGTTTTTATATATTCGATTTTCATTATCGACTTTTTTTTCCTTTCTATGCTACAAGTTCTAATTGTTATATATTTCTCGAGTACATTTTACGCCGTATAACTTGAGAAGAACTTGATAAGTTTCGATAATTAATTAAATTTTATTGAAAGAATGATAAAACGTGTCAGGACTTACATCCTGTTTCGTATTAAGTAGTTCAGGGATGAGACCAAAGGATTAGAGAGCTCCAGTTACTTTGATTTTTTGTTTCTGGAAAAATGTTAATAAGTTTGAGATCAAAAATAACTAGTTGAAATTAAAAATTAATACATTTTAAATTAACTAAGCTAACAATAAGTTAAAAGTTATTAACTTTTTTTATTTTTAACTAATTAACTAGTTATTACCCAATCCTGCCTCTATAACACAATAAATGAGTCATCATGAATTTGTGAAGATCAATTCACGAGCTCTGAGACACATGACCAGAAGACTGTGATCTAGAATTCGATAGGGTTCGTGTACAACCGGGAGTCGCAGAAAAGGTGAAAGAGAGACAGTGAGAAAAACAAAGAGAGAGAGAGAAAGAAAGAGAAGAAAAGAGAGTGCCGCATCCCGTAGCGGTAACGAGTCGAGACGGCCCGAGAACATTGGCGGTGCCACTTCAAAGCGGGAATCCCGCGCAATCAGGTCCCCTGCCCTTCCGAGGCACGCTTGAAAAACCGAGCGCGAAGGTACTATCGCGTCCCTCTCACGCGTGCTCTCGCGCAGCTTCATGCTCTCGGTCCAGAGCGACCAGAGTCACCAGGGAGATCATCGTCGCGCAAGAGAAACAGCAGTCTCGGAGACATCGATGCTCGGCCGACACTACCGTATTTAATTCTCTTCCTCTTTTACTACTGACAATAAGAATTACTCAGGTTTTCCTTGTACGTTCACCATGTATCTAAGGAGAGTCACTCGCATGGGCGCAGGATTTTTTTCCAAAAGGAAGCATAATTAATTTAAAACAATTTTTTTTTTATTTTTATTTTTTATATTAAACGTGCAAACAAATTTTAGTGTTTATTTTCAAAAGGAGAGCAAATGCTTAATTTTTTTTACTGATTCCAAGGGAGGGAGGCAAATGGTTACTCGTCGCGAAAAATTGTCAAATAATAAAAAACTGAAATAATATTATACATATATGTAGATATTTAATAATTATAAAAATTAATATTAGAGCTCGATGGACAAGTATCCTTTTATAAAATTAATCACGGGACGTACAATCCTGCGACGCGCTAAAGTATCATTAGAAAAGACGTGAAAATGTATTAATTAGCCGGATCGTGTATACGGCTCGCACGTGCCGTAGTACATTAATAAATTACTTTCCATTCTCTTCTTTTTCATTTGCACTACTCCGCGATAACTGTAAATGCGGAACGACGTCATTACCGGCCACCGCAATGCGTAGGTCCGTGCTTTTTTAATTGCTATTTTCGGTCACGTGTGTCTAGGAAAATATCCAAGCTCCAAGAGACAGTTACGAGTAATTACATCCGTATAAAATATTACCGCCGTATTAATGCGAAATGTGAGTGCTTGGATATAATTTAATGCATTTCTACCGTCGACGTAATAAATCCCCGTTTTAATATCCTTTTCTTCCTCGCGAATAAAATTTTCTCTCTACCCCTTCTAAGCTTTGCGATCAGCGGAAGGTCGGATTAACGTAATCCTCGAAAGACGCTATCGGTATTAAGAAATTGTATTTCCTATGCTAATTTATGAATTGTTATATTTTTACTAGAAGAAAAATCACACAAAAATTTTCTATAAGATCAATTAAGATCATTAGACCGGTATTACGACATGTATTTTATCAGAAATTATTTAACAGATTGAATAATGGACTTATTTTCGTAAAATGGAGAATATCAATTTCTTCACGAGTAAGATTGTAAAAATTAAACTCACTAAATTCTTCAGCAAAATATACTTGAATGTAGCATATAAAAATTTTAACACAAATGTTAGAAAGAAAATAAGTATAAATTATTGTTATTTTTTTAAACGCGGTGTAAAAAAAAATTATGTTTAATACCTTTATTTAATTTTTCGAGCAACTTTGCTTCACTCGGCATTCTTTGATAATGAATGAGGGAACGCGAGAGAAAATGAAAACTAGAAGCGGGTGCCTATCAGCGTTAGAGAAAAAGAAAGAGAGAGCCGCAATAAATACCTCGGAGAGAGAACGATCTGTGCACGTGCGATAACGTCGCCGCAAAGCGCAGATTACTTACGCCAATATGAATAGTTGCTCATGATAATGACTTATTTTTCGTCGAAATTTTTAGCGAACTATAGATTAATTTTTTAAATGCGCGTTTCTGATTGTTTTATTCGTACACTGAAAAAAAATTGTTAACTTGACTAAAACTTTCAATTAAATTACTATTTTGTTAAATCAACATATATATTAGTATTTAAGTTAAATATACGTTTTGTTAAATTTAATGTTATCAATATATTTAATTATATATATAATTTAATTATATATAATTATAATATGTTATATTTAATTTAAATATTTTTTATAGGTTTAATTAACAAAATAATATTTTTAGTTGAAAGGTTTATTGTTGGTCAAGTTAACAAATTTTTATTTAGTGTCTGTCACGATCATTAATACGGACTTTCTTTTGCGAAATAATCGTCCACAACAAAATGTAAATGTTCGTTCCAGCTGATTAACGATGTGCTACCGTCGTAAGAGCAGGTGTTGTCTCTTTTTTACGACTTCCGCAAATTAATTAATTGTTATGTACTCGAGAATTACGGCATAGAGTATCGATTCTCGATTTATGATATCCATCAATTAAATCTGAATATGCGTAAATCACGTTGTGTAAAAACCACTTGTATTTTTTTAATTTGAATACAAATTTGAATTTATCTGGTGCGCAGTGTAATAATAAAGTCGAATTAATTTTTACGTGTTTTCATAAATCTCCAAAAATTGCAATAAAATTTATACAGATGGGGAGGGAGAAGACAATGTTGTGTATTAATAACGTTAAACGTTATTATTATTAAATATCAAGTGTTAGTTTCAATTTCTCTTATTTGTTACATTTTTGTCGTTTATATTGCTTGCGTCATAAGACTAATTATGTTGAAATTTTGTTTACAAGACTTTGAATCTCTTGACATGTCACACAATTGCTTGGTTGTAACGACAATTAAAACGTAATCAAAGTCAGAAATAATAACAAATAAAAATTGCAATATAACGACTGACGAAGCTTGTAAAAAATGCTCAAGTAAAAAAAATAGCTTTAACTTTTCATGACTATATCTAAATATTTCTTGACATTCAACACAGCGTGCAAAAATACACAAACTTTTCAACAGGTATGTATTAAATCATAGATGCATATCCGGTAAACAAGAAACGACTAACGATGGAAAGCAATGTCGAATTGCAAACGATGAGATCTACAGATAGCTAAAAATGTGCAAATCGTCACAGACATTATAATTACACCGTCGCTCATTTGACGAGGTTTATGCATTAAATCCTGTTGCACAAGTTGCGCACAAAGTGCGATAATAATCGAAACAGTGTTACTTCCTCGATGATGGGTTTTCTGTTTTTTTTTCCGCATATGAACATGCAAATACATCGCTGATTATGAGATCTATATAAAAGTGAAGAACGTTTCTACTGACCAGTGTGCATCAAGCTAAGCAAGATGATTAAACTATTCCTCATTACTTTACTTTGCGCGACATTGGTGGTAAGAAATCTGCGATAGCTTATTTAGAATTTCAGAACAAAGTTACGTGCAAATATTATGCGTATTATATTGATATAAACATAATAAATTAAATATAAAAAGTAGAATTTTATATATATTTTATAAGAATTAATAACTTGCTATAATAGTAAGAAGAAAATACACATTATATAAGAGTAAATTTTATGGCTTGTATATATATGTATATTATCGAAAGAATATATAGATGTATAAATAATTTTCTATATAATGATCTATAATTATCTAAAAATAGGCTTTCTCAAAATATTTTTATTTTTCCGAAATAATTTTTTGAAACATTAAAAACGTTTGATATACACACATATTCACTGTACGTTGAATAATATCAAATTATTCACAGTTTTTCAATATAAAAGAATAATTAGTATTTTTTATATTTTAATATTAATTAGATTTTGTAATAAAATCATATTCACAAAATAAAAAAATTTAACTGCTTTTTCAGTTGGCCAATTTGCCAGCCCAGAACTTGGCAGATGTAAGTAAGATAGCATGATTATATATATCTAATATACGAAAAGTTATGCTTTATTTCAATAAAATTATCTTCTGTTCAACAAAATTTGGAATATTAAAAACAAATATAAATGATTTGCATCACATTTTTATAGGATATATTACAAAATAATATTTATTTAAAGGCGTGACAAAAATCAAATAAATTTCTTAGATGAATGCATTTTTCAGGCCGATCATAGTAGTATAGTGCGACGATCGGCACAGGGAGGAATGGGAGGAGGTGGAATGGGAGGTGGAATGGAAGGTGGAATGGAAGGTGGATTGGGAGGTGGATTTTCAGCCGGAGGTGGATTTTCAGCCGGAGGACAAGCCGGAGGTGGAATGGGAGGACAACTCGAAGGCCAAGGTCGAGGATAAAGATTCGGAAGAAGATAGAATCATAAGGTTAATCATGGAATAAATAATTTAGTTAAATGTTTTTTGAACAAGATTTTCAAAGTCAATTATATAATATTTATATATATGTATCATACCCATGTGATATCTTAGAAAATCAAGTTAAGTAATGATAACACACACTGAAAAAAATTTATTTCATTCGAATAAGTATTTATTTCAATACTGCCAAATGAATCATTTATTTGAAACTAATAATATTGATTTGATATGAAAAATATTTATTTGATACAAGAAAATCCTTTTCAAAACAAATAAATATTTTATTTGGCAGTATTGAACTAAATATGTATTAATTTAGTTATTTTTTCAGTGCACGTACAAATACATACGCAAACTCATACGTGTGTGTGTATGTGTGTTTGTGTGTAGAATATATAATAAATATTATACTATGCGTCTATATCTATCGTCTAAAGTAGATTTAACATTAATGCTGTTATTATTGAATAGCGTTACAGTTCAATTTTATATTTATTTCGTAGGTCTTATATGGATATTGAAGTCAACCATTGTAAGATAGACAAAGATGATTTAGATTTCACTTGGCACTTTGATCTTAGCACATCTTATTAGTCTACTTCGCACAACTGAGAATCCCGATGACTTTAGAAGAATAAAACTTATTGTTAGAGAAATTTCAGAAGAATAAAACTTAGAGCGCTGCAAGTTATTTAATGTTCTTTTATTTGATCCCATCCATACTCACAAAACTTTAACGAAACCAAAATAATTCACGAAAGCTCTTGAATTTTAATATATACATACATATATAACGTATTCATTTTGTTATTCAATTTTTCCTTTCTCTAATAAAAATGAATTTTAAATATAATTAGAATAAAAAGTATGTATGTGTGTATTTAACATGTTTCTAACGTTTCTATTAATTTTAGTGCATGTAATCCGGATGATTATCTTGTATATTTTACTGTCGAATAGATTCAATATTGCGAAAGAATAATAGTATATGTATACATTTTTATATACACTTGAAATAAATTCTCAAAGTGCCGCGAACGACAAAAATTACGATTTGCACAATCAATCGTGTAACCTTATCAAAATGCTTGATAAAATATATCGTTGTATTGAACTTTTACATTTTCGACAAAAATCTAGTAAGAAAACGAGAACGTCACATATATTTGTCAGAGAAGAAAAAGCTTACCGAGTTATACTAATTTAAATAAATAATTTTATACATAATTTTATTTAATTTTATGATTGCACGCATTAGTTACAAAACAAATAAATTAAATAAAAAAATGTACATATCTCAAATAATTGTTATTATTATCCTCGTTCTCTTTCTGTTTCTCTTTAATCGCGTCGTTAAATCCATTCCATCGTCTTTAATCACGTGAGTAAATCTGTTTCCTCCGTCCATTTTTACATTTATTTATTAATATTGTCCGATATTGTATCAAGATTATTATGATTTTCAAAGTAAATTCTCTCCGTGCATAATTGAAATTTTTATTTTAACATTGCTATTAAGTTTTCAATGTTCAGATGCTAACTGCATCAATTTAAACATATGCTATCATAATTATATGTATATGTCATAATTATATGACAAAGAAATTTATCAAATATAACTCAGCAATATTCGTTGCTAAATACCGCCATCAACAGTTCACACGTAATAAAATTCACATAATGCTTTCACCTACTGTCAGTTCTGCTCATTATCTTTCCAAGAGCAATCATTTTTCGACCTTTTTCATTCATTCATCTAGGTGGTCTTTTACGGTTTAATTTTTTCCCCTATGGGAAATTCATCGAGAGAGAGAGAGAGAATCCGGGAAAGATGCACAATTCACGGTAGCACATTTCAAATAATTGAAAACGGCCGACAGTCACACTAATTTCGTGCGGAAGAGAAGAGAGATTATTAATACATTCTCTTACCGCGATAAGTTCTTGATTAATATATTATTTTTAATGATTTGTGTAATGATTTTAAAAGATCTCCAAAGATTGCAATAATGTGGATAAAAGAATCATGTAATATGCAATACATGATAATATATTGTTATTAAAATTTGTTTCTTTTTGTTATTGTTTTTATTGTTTGTGTCAAAATTTGTTAGAATTTTACAAGATTTTGCGTTGTGTCACCAAATTACTTTGTAAGGATAATTAATACGTAAGATGTCATTAAAGTCAAGATAAAAAGAAATAAAAATTGCAACATAAGACTGATAAGATTTGTAAAAGATGCTCAAATTAACAAAAAGTTTTTGATTCTTTATGATATCTAAATATTTTTCGGAATTAATTAAATGTAGCATGTATTACATACTTGAATATAATTAAATATCAAACTATATATAAATGTATTTCCCGGAAAACAATAAAGGACATTGCAAAAGCGAGTTGTATATAGTATCGTAAATGTTAAGATAAATTACGATAAGCTAACAATAAGATAAGAGGATAAAAATAGAATATAATCTAACAACTGTAAAAAAAATAGATGTGCAGATCGTCAGAAGCTATAATTACACTGCTGTTCATTACGAGCTTTATACATAAAACTCTGTCATGAATTGCGCAAAAAGTGTTGTAACAATAAAAATCATGTTATTTTTTTATTAATGATTGCTATTTTTCGCATCTTGACACGCAAATGCGTTGCAGATAATCAGGAGTTTTATATAAAAGCGAAGAACGCTTCTGCCGAGTATTAGTCAGTATATACGAATAGTGCATCAAGCTAAGCATCATGATTAAGATATTCCTCATTACTTTACTTTGCGCGATGTTGGTGGTAAGAAATTCGCAATAATAATTCATTTACAATCTCAGAACAAAGTAACGTGCACATTATGTGTTGTGTTGATACAAATATGAAAAATCAAATATTCAAATTAAAATGTTTTAAATTATTATAATGATAGAAAAAGCCTGCATATATAAAAAATTTTTAAACACGTATATTATCTAAAAAACATTGTAATGTATTCCTCAAAAATAGTTTATTTCAAATAATTTTTTTTGAAACATATACGAAACATTTAATACACACATATATACTTTCTATACGTTAGATAATACTGATTATTTATAAAGTAGTTTTTAATATTAGAAAATAATTGGTATTATTTTTTATATTTTAATATCAATTGAATCCTAAAAAGATTGTATCCGCAAAATAAATAAATTTAATTGCCCTCGTCTCTCTCCAGTTTGCCGATAAACAAGTCCAGGACTTCCAAAATGTAAATGTAAGTATTGCATGACTTATATTATGCATATATATACTTATATACATATATGTACAAAATTATGCTTTATTTCTCTAAAATTTGCTTCTATTCGACAAAAAAAGCATAAAAATTTCCTTCATATTTTAATATAAAATTAGATTTATTTAAAGGTATCGGATATATTATAAAATAATATTTATTTAAAGGCACCAAGGCAATCAAACCAATTTCTCAATATGGCTCACTTTATAAGTAATGATCGTGGAAATAATTTAGTGCGACGGTCGGCACAGGAAGAAGAAAATGCAGGATTTGGAATGGGAATGAATGCATCTGCAGCATTTCAATTTGGATTTATTGTAGGAGGAAAAGAAAAAACGAACGAAAACTAGTCAAATTAGATCACAAAAATCATTGTATAGAATGAATAGATTGTGTTCGTTAATTGTTTTTTAAATGCAATCCAGTTGTGAATTATGAGTCGCCCAGCATAGTTTATTATATGTATATAATTTTTATTTAAGAAGCTTAATACGTTTATCTCAATAATTTTTTAAAAATTAATTAATAATAATAAAATTATATAGTACATTTTTATTTCATAAATAATAAATTTTATGAAAAGTAATTGATCGTTTGAAATATTTGGCAGTTTATATAATATAATAATATATATATATATATATATATATATATATATATAATACCCTGGTATTTGAGATACTTACAATTCAATTTGATAAAGGAAGTTTACACAATTAAGTCCATTCTAAATTACATATAATTATATATGACTTATGAGAGAAATCTATTTATTTACATATAATTACATATACCATATTTGATATCTTAGAATTAAGTAATCACAAATATTATATTTTCACACACACACGTGCATGTACGTATATGAATAGAAAACAGAACATAATGCTAATAAATATATGATGTGGCAAATAGATATATCATCTAAAACAGGTTTAACATTTAAAAGAATTGTTATTGAAAATAGTTAGAAACTAATTTCGTATTTATTTAATTGATTATATGGATAGAGCAGCTACCATAAAATAGATAAATTTTGTGATTTAGATTTCGGCACTTTGACGCGTCTTATATTACTTTTTACAATTGAGAATCCTGATAATTTTAAAAGAATAAAATTTAGCACCGCAAGATATTTATTATTATATTATTTTTGCATGTAACAAACACACGTAAATTAGATTAGCATACGTTGTGGGAAAATTGTTTGTAAATTTTTTGCAAATTTGACAAATTTATACTCATTTATTAAAATTTTTCATTTATATTGTTCTTTGTAGGTCTAGTTATATTGAAATTTTGTTTACAAGACTTCGAATTTCTCGTCGTGGCACAAAATTGCTTTACGATATACGTAACGATAATTAAAATATAAGATATTATAAAGTCAAAATACTAAGAAATAAAAATTGCAATATATGATTTACAAGATTTGTGAAAAATACTCCAATTAAAAAAAATAATTTTTGTTTCTACATAATTCATATCTAAATATTTATTGAAATTAATTAAAGGTAGCATAATAATATAAATATTTCAAAAGAACTAATGTTTAATAATTTAAACCGTATTTCCAATAGATAATAACGGTAAAAAAACGGTAAATAAAGATTAACGTTAAAAAAATGTTAATTACATCTAGTGTCAAATTGCAGGGATAAGATCTAGTAATCACAAAAAAATAGTATGCAAGTCGTCACAGAGACGAGGCGATATAATTGCTGCTGCTTATTTGGCAAGCCTTATACATTAAATCCTGTCGCGAATTACGCAAAAAGTGCGATAACAATCGAAATCGCGTTATACTTCCTGTCAATCATGGGCTGTTTTCGCATTTGAACACGTAAACACGTTGCGTTTAGACGATTACGAGATTTATATAAAAGCGAAGAACGCTTCTACTATCTAGTTTGTGGATAATACATCAAGCTAAGCATCATGATGATGAAGTTATTCCTCGTTACTTTACTTTGCGCGACGCTGGTGGTAAGAAATTAGCTTATTTACAATCTCAGAACAAAATATATAATATCAATTAGATTCTAAGATTATATTCAAAAAATGAAGAATTTCATTGCTTTGTCAGATCGCTGATTCACTGGCCCATGACTTCCAAGATGTGAGTAAGATGCATGATTGAATGGTTTATAACATATGTATTAACATATGCTTTATTTCAATGAAATTTTCTTCTACTCGGCAACATAAGAAACATGTAAAGGAAAATAATTGCAAATTATTTGTTTCACATTTTTATCGGATAGTATAAAATATTTATTTAAAGGCGGCGCGAGGACCAGTAAAGGGATTTGTCAATGTAGCCGATCACGTTAAGGGCCATGCAAGTGGTTTAGTGCGACGATCGGCAGAGGGTCCACCAGGACATGGACAACATCCACCATCACCACCAGGACCAACAGACGGAGATTCATCGTAGAATCACATCAAGGATCATCGTTGAATGTTTGTACTCTTTAGACTTTAGATAAATGTTTTTTTAGATGCAATGTATTGTGAATATGAAATCGATTTAACTATTCGCTCAGTTTATTTATTATATGTATATATTTTTCATTTTTGAAGCTTATGCGTTTATTTCAACAATTATTCAAAAATTAATTATAAGAAAATTAAATAATTTTTTATTACATTTTTACTTCATAAATAATAATTAATCGTTCAAAATATTCGACAGTCTATATTATGTAAAAAATTGATTGTATTTATATCTTATATTCAAATACTATAGTCTCACGATTAAATTTATTAATTTTATTTTATTTCATAGATCCTATATGGGATATTGAAGCTGACGATTGTAAGGCAGATAAAGGTGATTCACATGGCACTTTGACACGTATACTAATTAACACGTTATATAAGATTACTTTGCACAAATGAGATAACTCCGATGATTTTAGAAGAATAAAACTTAACATTGCAAGATAATTATTATTTTATTTGACCCTATCTATATTTGCAACTTTAATAAAATCATAACTATTCGCGAAAACTTCTTTATTTTGTTTTGTATACATACATATACATATATAACATATTCATTACATAATTAACGTATTCATTACATTTCGTTATAAAATTTTATTAAATTTTTCTTTTTTTCGTTAATAAAAATACATTTTAAATATTTTAGAATAAAGAGTATATTTGTATCTATATATAATTTCTGTCGAATAGACTGTCAATATTGCGAAAAAATAGTATGCGTATACATACATATTTGCATAATCTTGAAATGAATTCTCAAAGTGCCACGAACGCCAAAAATTACGATTTGCATAATCGCATAATCTTATCGATGCACTTAGTATATCGGTACATTACACTTCTAGATTTTCGACAGAAAAATTTTACAGCTAATGAGAGATATCATTTATTTTGCGGAGAAAAAAGAGGATATACTTATAGCGTATTAATTTTAATGATTTTATACATATAATTTATATTGCGATGCACACGCGTAATCACTATATATAAATGAATAAAAACATAAAAAATGTATACACCGAACGATGTCATTATTGTCCGCCTACTATCCCGTTACATCGCCTTTAATCATATCGTTGAATTCGTTTTACAGTTTTATCCGTTCTTTTTTACGTGCGGTGCATTGATTATTATCAACAGATTATATTTACACCTTCCTTTAATTACTGTAAAGGCCGCGTCGTGAAAAAATATGATTTCGCGATCAGATATTATGAGATTTTTCATAATCTTAATAATAAATTAATTAATTACGTATTCGGAAATTATAGAATAGAATATCGATTCTCGATTTATGATTTAGTATATAAATCCGAATATATGTAAGTTAGCATAAAATTGCTTGTAATTTTGTTTCAAATGTGATGATCAATTTTAGCTTAACTAATTTAATAAATTTGAATTGATAGACCTTTTATTTATCAAAATATTATTTTTACGTGATATTTTAATAGATTTCTAAAGATTTGCAATAAAATTTATGCGAATAGGAACAATATTATGTATTAACAAATGTTATTAAATATAAATTGTTTTAATTGCAAATTTGTTATTCATGTTATTTGTAAGACTAGATATTTTCGAATTTTCTTCACAAGATTTTAGATCTCTCGTTGTATCAAAAAAATTGCTTTGTAATAACAATTAAAATGTAAGGTAATAGTAATCATCAAAATTGAAATAATAATAAATAAATATTGTAGTATAACTAATAAGACTCAGAAAAAATGTTGAAATAAAAAAAAATAATTTTTCATATCTTCATATTTTTTGGAATTAATTAAAGGTAACGTAATATTACATAAACATTAATAATAATTGTGAATGAACATGAATAATAATCGTTTGAAATATTTGGTAGTTTGTATTATGTAAAATTCATAATATTAATATGTAGTACTTACATATAAGTCTCACAATGAAATTTGATAACTAAAATTTAATAAAATAAATCTACTTTAGATGATCATATATATTCATGTGAGAATTTTATTTATTATAATTATAAAATATATATCATAAGCAGATGTATCATAATCACATTACAATATATTTTCATATATGCTCGCATGTGTGTGTAAAATATAATCCGAATATGACTAACAATTGACTATACGTATTAAAGCACACTGAAAAAAATTTGTTAGCTTAATTAAATTACTATTTAACCTTTCAATTAAATTACTATTTTGTTAATTGAACATATATTAATATTTAAGAGAATATTGTTATTAAAAATATGTAGTTAGAGATTAACTTTGTATTTATTTCATAGGTCTTATATGGATATTGAAATCAACCATTGGAAGATAGATGAAGCTGATTTAGATTTCACTTGACACTTCGACATGCCTTATTAGAATATTTCGCACACAACTGAGAACCCCTCAATGATTTGAAAAGAATAAAACTTAGCACTGCAAGATATTTAATATTGTTTTATTTTTGATCCCTTCTATATTCACATCTTTAACAAACGTGAAAGCTTTCTATTTTATGATATATAACGTATTCGTTATTAATTTCTTTTTTCGCTAATAAAAATAAATTTTAAATAAATATATTAGAATAAAGAATATGTGTGTATTTAATACGTTTTTATCGTTTCTAATTTTAATGAATGTAATCCGGATTATTCCGTATATATTTTACTGTCAAGTAGATTATTGTGAAAAATAATATATGTGTACACATTTTTGGTACACACTTATAAAATAAATTCTCGCAATACTGCGATAAAATCACAATCGATCACATAATCTTATTAAAATATTTCGTAAAATATCGTTATATATTGAACTTTATATTTTCTACAAAAAAAACTTGCAGAGGAAATTCTCTTGATTTCGTCACATATATTTGTCAAAGAAGAGAGAGAATACTTATCGCGTTACTAATTTTCATAATTTTATACACAATAATTTGATACGTGAATTGCACAGATCAGTCACGCTATGTCGAATAAAACATCGAAAAATGCACTCACCGATCGGCGTTACTGTTTCATCCTCTTTAATGGTGTCGCTGCATCCATTCCGTCTCCTTTAATGGCATCATTGAATATCCATCCATCTATCTCCTTGAATCGTCGTTGAATCCGCTTTATCCATCCATTTTTGCACTTTCACTAGGTTATATCTCCACACAGACACAGAAATACGGCACTGAGAATTAATACAATTATAATAATCACTGTTCACTCCGACACTCCCGGACATGTCCGAACGCGAACAGCGACCTGCGACGAACTGTCAACTGTCACTGTCTGGAGTCTGGAGCAATACACGTGTATGAGTGTGCGTACTAAAGTGATGGCGAACCGATTTTACCGATTATTTACAAGAGAGCTGTGTCGCGGAAGATTATACGTCCATATATTTCCGTGCTCTAATCTCGCGTTTATATATTTCTTTCTACCTTTTCTGAGGTCTTGTTATACATACCTCGATATTTCGATGCTCGCTCAATACTTATTTCATTAAATCGTCGAAAATGTGCGGGTAAAGTTATTCGCCGGCTCGAAGGTTTAGCGAGGTTAGGAAGATGATCGATTGTCGTGTAAGAATTCTTGCGTCGAATTTTCGCGTGCACCACTTATTTTTCACATGTTTCGCATTTGTTCGGAATATATCGCGTGATAAAACGTCAAATGTATTAGATCAATTGACAGATTATGTGATATAGTGAGACGAGGAAGCGAAGTGTCGCGAAAAATATGTCGGTGCGGAAATAATTCACGCCTTCGCGTTCGCTTCTTTAAGGCACATTTATGTAATATTATATATTAAAGTAACGTCAAATAATATTAATATATAGTGCACACTCACAATTTTTATATCGAGTCGGAACGAAGTTGCACTCGCGTCGCGTCCGAATAATTTTATGTGGCTTCGATATGAAGTTGTCTCGTCGTCACCTCGAAATCGTTTACACGTGACGTCAAACTGAGTTACCTTCGCATCGTCCGGATATCTCGTAGCTTCGCGTCGATATGAAGTTGTCTCGGCGTCCAAATGTCACGTGACGTCGAAACGAAGTTAACTTCGCGTCGTCCATATTTTTTTTTTTTTACGGCATCAAGCGATATTGTAGCGAATGTCGAATTAAATAACCACGAATAAATGTATGTCGAATTAATCGGAGTACGTGACGATAAATTAGTCGCTCGTTAATTAATTGACCCGATTAATCAAATAATCAGTCGGCGATTCTTCGCGATGGATCGCGCGCGATGAAATTATTCTGCTTCGTGAATTTCTAAATTACTTATTAAATCGCGATTGAAGAGTCGAAACACATTTATGTCACATTCTCGATTGCGCACACGAATTATCGACGCGAAAAACGAATTAAAAAATCAGCGGAGTACGACACCCGTCCGGGATACTTTTCGCGATTATGACTTCAATGCTGCCAACTGTCAGACTGAAAATATGATGGCAATTTTACATGTGTACTAAATCGCGTCGCTGCGATGCAAACCTTGTGACGTAGATGCGAATTTTGGCGCTTAAATCACGAACTAACAAATTATTTAGAAATGCACTGTGCAGAATAATTTACTAAAATTATCGCGATATTTAAGGCGAAAAATCGCGAGTACCGCCGATTTGCACTGGCCGAGTTAATTAACGATCAAGCTAATTTATCGTCACGTATCCCAATTAATTCGACAACCTCCAAATGCAGTTTATGGTTTAATTTGGCACTCGCATCATTTAATTTTAATTGATTAATATGATAAAATTAATTTATAAATTAAGAGTTTAACAATAAATATAAACAATAAATTTTAACAATAAATTAAACAATAAATTATAAATTAAATTTATAATTGATAAATGATGCGAGTGCCAAATTAAACCATAAACTGCATTTGGAGGTTGTCGAATTAATTGGGATACGTGACGATAAATTTAATTTATAAATAAACGGTATATTGTAATATAAATAAAAATATAATGCTGGCACGAAGTCGTCTTATATGACATCCTTCGAATGATTATTGTGAGTTAGTGATTAGTATACGTACTGATAAAATTAATTAAAATAACTGAAGAATATGTCGCGACATAAACGAATAAAGTACAGCATCGGTGCGAAGTCGTCTTTTACGTATAATTATATTTATTGCAAATGCCGAATTAATCGAGATGCGTGCCATAAATTTTATAGACTGAGCATTAATTAATCAGTGCGAGTCGACGGCGCGCAGTTTTTCGTGTTAGATTAAATTATTGTTTGTAGTGCATTTCTAACAATTAAATACTCAAAGCGCCATCTTACGTTGCAGACTTGCATTGCGAAGTGATTTGGTACGCTTGCAAAATTGCCGCCGTTTTCATTTGACAGAGTTGGCACTAATGCTTCTAATTACTCCAAAATCGGAAGGTGTCGCGGACGGACGTCGCGTCGTACTCCGCTGAGATTTTTCATCAATT